ATCATTTAGTAATCCTACAAATTTAGGAAAAATGAATGAAAATAGTTTATTAAAAATTCAAGAAATTGAAGAACCTCATAGTAGCAATAGTTTATATAAAGGGGATAAAGATATAGAAAAATTAAATAAACAGGTAAATGAATTAAGCTCATTAGTAATAAAATTAAATAATAAAATATAAAAATGGAAAGGAAAGATATAAATCTTGAACTAGCTGAACTAAAAAGAAAAGAAATCAAAGAAATAGATTATTTAATAGAAAAATTAATTCAATATAAATATATAGAAAAGGATGAACAAAAATTAAAACAGCTAGATTATGATATACAAAGACATAAGCAAAAATAAAAAAAAAATACATAAAATAGGACCACCTAAAACGATAATATAAAATGGTATCAGAGCTAGACATAAAATTAAATATAAACATAAAATTAAAAGATAGCTAGATAACAATTAAAAATAAAATGAGTACAAGAAAAATATATTTTGATATAGACTGGGAAATACAAAACATAAAAATGTATATAACAAGATATATTTATTTATATGCAATTACAAATTTAGATTTTTATTATGATATGATAAGTGAAGGAAAATTAAAAAGAATAATACAAATACAAAAACAAGTTACAATTGTATAAAATAACATATAATATTAACAATAACAATAAAAGCAATTTTTGCTAATGTCACACCAATGGGTGCCACCCTCGCGGGTGGCATCGAGTGAACCATAGTATATGTAATGTTATTAAACGGGTAGATCTCTCTCTATTTTTTTTTTTCCAACAATAATTATGGTAGGTCGCAAATATAGCAATTTGTGGCATATTATTCTTCATTGAAAGCATCACCTAACCTTGTAACAAAAGAAAAATAGCAAATGAGAAAAGTAGGGAATATGGGCCAACTTTCGATATCTAGATATATATAATTACTAGCTGATGTATTTAATAAAACATTTAATAAAACATATTTTCATTTCCCTCCAAAAAAGAGTTACATTTTTTTTAAACCGTTACAACTTAATATATATAGTTTTATTGTTTATTTTTTGGATCAGTTACTAAATTAATTCTAAACTTGATAGCAAAATATCAAATGTGTAACAACTAATGTTGGAACTTAAAGTTGATTGACACATTAAGAGTTGTAACCGCTATATTAGGTTGCATTGTTGGAAGAAAAATATGATTGACACATATTTTTTTTTTTCAAAAAATCGGAAACACCACTTATTTTTTTATTTATGTTAATTTTCTTAATATATGCCACAAACATATAAATTATTTTTTTCATGTTACTAATGTAAACATTGCATGATTAAAATAAAATTTAAATTTCAATTAATTTTGAATGATAAAAAATAACTTAAGAAAAAAATAATAATTTTTATATGATAGAAGTACATGTTTAATTAATAAATACAAACAAAAATGTGCTTTATATATGTGCAAATGCACAAGATCAAATACTAGTTAGCCAACTAACGCCACATCCAAATAAAGCAAGTGATATGTGGCTACGGATTTGTATCTGCTCATCTACCCACGGTGGACACATGTTAATATGCCCACCGCTTATGTGGCATGCACAGATTGGTAATGTATTTTTTTGAACATATTAACATCACCAATGTGTGCATGACACATAAACGGTGAACATATTAACATGTGCCCTGTGGAGGGGAGCATTGTCCTTTGTCTCGGTCCACATATAAATTATTTAGTTTTCTTCACTCTGTGACATTCATACAGAATACACTGCAATTCTATTAGTCCAGCATTTGCCACTACTATGTATGTTCCTTCACCTATTAAATATAGGATTAATTGCATTTAAGATTTTAACTTTTGTGTAATTTAAAATAAAACTCAACCTTTTCAATTTGGCAAAAAAGTATCAAACCTTTACTAAGTATTGCAATTGTGTCGCAAAATCAGTTTCCGATCATACCAAACTTTAAATAAGATGACCGGAAAAGTCGTCTTCGGAAAAAAGTCACCGGTTTCGGCGAAGGTGGACGTCACTAGATGCGGTTTTGCGAGAGGAGTTCAACGGTACCTTCGGATTCACATGGGTCAAAGCGAGTCACCGGGAATTTGCGAAAGAAGACCGGAGAAAATTTGAAGATCTACGATTTTGACTGGAACATTGGATTTCTTATCGTCGATTTTTTTCGTTAAACTCGGATATATTGTCGGTACGGAGGAGAGCTACAAGATCATGTAAAAAATTTCAACACCCGGCGAAGTTGGCCGGCGATGGGTGGCGGTTGGCCGCGTGAATATGGAAGTGGTCATCTACCCAGGCGAGTCCGAAGATGTGGATGGCGATAATCTCAATATATGGTTGGAAAACATGCTA